CACACACCAGAGAGCTAAGAACCTGTTAACTGCTGGCAGTTACTGATCTAGTTTGAATTATTCGACGTTAGAGTAAATTAAAATACAAGTTGATCTGAATACAAATTAAATTTGTAAGGATGCTAATTCAGTGATAAGGAATTTGATATTTGATTTAAAATATATACATATATATATATATATATATATATTTTAAAGATCATTGAAGGTCAGAAAATGGTCTAGTCATCTAGCATCTTGATTATTTCATCAAGATTCACAGTGATTGTGGGAGAAAAAAAAAAAAATTTAAGACTGATATTTCCAATTGGAAAATGGCAAAAGGCAGAAAAATGTGTATACAAAAGTTTAACTATCTAATGCCAGGAGAAAAAGGCCCAGAATCCTAAAAATAAACCATGTTTGTGTCTGTTTACTTGTATACATTGGATGTGTGTGTATATATGCACAATAAAGTGTCTGATATCTAATATTGACTTTGTTTTTTTATGCTTGTGCTATATGTATACACACATATATATATAAATATACACAAGAATAAATTGAACTCTGATAAACGTTCAGAGAAAATGGAGGAAGAGCCGTTGGCTTGGGCCCGCCCCCAGCTGTCCTCTATCACGTCCTCAGCCGAAATATATAGCCTGACCGTCCGCAGCTCAGACTCACGTTGATCTTTGTGAACAGCATATTGAGACACAATGAGCGGTAGAGGAAAGGGAGGCAAAGGACTCGGGAAAGGAGGCGCTAAGCGCCACCGCAAAGTGCTCCGTGATAACATCCAGGGCATCACCAAACCCGCCATCCGCCGCCTGGCCCGCCGTGGCGGAGTCAAGCGTATCTCCGGCCTCATCTACGAGGAGACCCGCGGGGTGCTCAAGGTCTTCCTGGAGAACGTCATCCGGGACGCCGTCACCTACACCGAGCACGCCAAGAGGAAGACTGTGACCGCCATGGACGTGGTGTACGCGCTCAAGAGGCAGGGCCGCACTCTGTACGGCTTCGGAGGCTAAACTCAGCCCGGGCAGACCCCCACCACCCAAAGGCTCTTTTCAGAGCCGCCCACAACCTCAAAGAGCCCAGATTTCTATTCTACCGTTTCAAATAAGTGGCTAAAACTGCTGTTTGTCATCAGATTTTGACGGTTCAGTTTCGTTCAATGAACTCTATACTGCCGCCTCGTGGCCCCTCCCTGCAACTGACCACATCAACTTATCAGAACAGAAAACTCACCAAAATCTCCTCAGATGTTTAAAAAAAGTACATCATTTAAGTAATAATTGTTCCAGTACTGCACAATGTCATAGCTATGATATCCAGAAGTCCAAATATGCCATTTTGAACCGTTTATACCGAGTTCTGTTGAATACAGAAATTCATATAATGTATACACTGTTGCATTTGATTCTAATAAAACATGAACACCAGCCACATCTAGGCTATTTTGGTTCCCTTAAGGAGAAAATGTTCACTAACCAAGTTACCTCTCAGACATTGTATCTGGGGTTTAATTATTGAAAAAATAATAATTTCAAGTTAATTTTTTTGGTGGATTTTCAGATTTGAGATTGCTAGAAATAGTATAATGCACTGTAAATCAATAAACTTTTTAGTTATACTCTACATTATATGAAGAGATCTAGCATAGAATATTCATTAAAGATACTAGATCAAATATAGAATAAATGCTATGTTATGTCAAAGATCTGAAATCAGAACAATGGAAGACTTAAAGTCCACTCTCTGAAATTCATTAGTTGCTTTTAAATTCAGTTTTTCAGGCAAAAATCTTAGTTTTCAAAGCCCAGCTTCTATTTTTAAGAGTTTTTTCTTATAGAGTTAATATTAAAGGACTGATTTTGATCTGAACAGCATAAAATCTTTTTTTATATACTCACCATGTTTTCCTCTGAGAAAAATAAATCAAATATTTCCTATTTTTTTGCTTGGCTGTTTCCAAGCTAATATATTTTACATATAAAAATATGGTACAAATTCTAAAATAAATATACTATTAACAAATGAGGACCTGCTCTTTAGGTAGCTGTGGTGGCTCTTAGAAGAGCCGTTG